GAGCCTGAACAAGCCTGAACAGGTCTGAACAGGTCTGAACAGGTCTGAGCCTGAACAGGTCTGAACAGGTCTGAACAGGTCTGAACAGGTCTGAGCCTGAACAGGTCTGAACAGGTCTGAACAGGTCTGAGCCTGAACAGGTCTGAGCCTGAACAGGTCTGAGCCTGAACAGGTCTCAGTCTGAACAGGTCTGAGCCTGAACAGGTCTGAACAGGTCTGAGCCTGAACAGGTCTGAGCCTGAACAGGTCTGAGCCTGAACAGGTCTCAGTCTGAACAGGTCTCAGCCTGAACAGGTCTCAGCCTGAACAGGTCTCAGTCTGAACAGGTCTGAGCCTGAACAGGTCTGAACAGGTCTGAGCCTGAACAGGTCTGAGCCTGAACAGGTCTGAGCCTGAACAGGTCTGAACAGGTCTGAGCCTGAACAGGTCTGAGCCTGAACAGGTCTCAGTCTGAACAGGTCTCAGTCTGAACAGGTCTCAGTCTGAACAGGTCTGAGTCTGAACAGGTCTGAGTCTGAACAGGTCTGAGTCTGAACAGGTCTGAGTCTGAACAGGTCTCAGTCTGAACAGGTCTGAGCCTGAACAGGTCTCAGTCTGAACAGGTCTGAGCCTGAACAGGTCTGAGTCTGAACAGGTCTCAGTCTGAACAGGTCTGAGCCTGAACAGGTCTCAGCCTGAACAGGTCTGAACAGGTCTGAGCCTGAACAGGTCTGAACAGGTCTCAGTCTGAACAGGTCTGAGCCTGAACAGGTCTGAACAGGTCTCAGCCTGAACAGGTCTGAGCCTGAACAGGTCTGAGCCTGAACAGGTCTGAGCCTGAACAGGTCTGAGCCTGAACAGGTCTGAGTCTGAACAGGTCTGAACAGGTCTGAACAGGTCTGAGCCTGAACAGGTCTCAGTCTGAACAGGTCTCAGTCTGAACAGGTCCGAGCCTGAACAGGTCTGAGCCTGAACAGGTCTCAGAGGACAGATGAGATGTTCCTTTAAAGAAGAACCTGTCCAGAGGACCTCCTGATCTCAGTTTGAACTGTTCCACCTGGACAGAGACATTTTATTGAAGTTCACTGAGCAGCAGCAGAGGAACAAGCAGACAATGGTGGGCCTCTGATAAAACATCACAGCTGGATGGTTTCTCCATCTCTTCTGCTCAGCAGGGGTCAGACTGCAGAGACCACGGCTCCAAGAGGAACCCAGACTGCCCCCTCCATGGTGTCCTGGTGGACCTGAAAGTGCTCCCAGACACACACATGATC